AAGCTAAACATCCGCTATCCCACTCATATATTAGATGATTTTTTATTTGCAAATCAGACATATTCCTCTTGTGAGCAGGATCTTGTTACTTTCGGCAACATGTGTCAGGATGTAGGAGTTCCTCTGTCACCTGAGAAAACCTTCCACCCAGATACGGTTATGTCATTTCTGGGTATAGAGCTTGACACAAAGATAATGGAGGCGAGATTGCCCAAGGACAAGCTCCAAAAGTGTAAGAACACAATACAAGAATTCCTACGACACACATGTGTTTCTTTGAAACAAATCCAGTCTCTAGTGGGCTTACTGAACCACGTATGCCAGGTGGTCACCCCTGGACGTGCTTTTCTAAGACGTCTTATCGACCTAACCAAAGCCAATTCAAGCAAAACATTTCCCATTCAAATCAATCCTGGAATACGGCATGACTTACAAATGTGGGGAAACTTCCTTGATACTTTCAATGGGAAATCTTTTTTCATCGATGATCACTTCACTTTAGACTCTACTTTGAACTTATACACAGATGCAGCAGGCTCATTAGGATATGGTGCAGTGTTTGGCTCACAATGGCTCTATGGAGCTTGGCCACAGGCTCTGCATACTACTAACATTACCATCTTAGAATTCTATCCCATCGTATTGGCTCTATATATTTGGGGCCATCAATGGTCTAACAAAAGTATCCTACTTCACACGGACAACCTGGCCCTGGTCCATATTATCAATAGACAAACATCTCGCAACCCTAGGATCATGCCCCTGATACGTCGATTTGTATTGATAAGCCTACGTAGAAATATCCGCTGTAAAGCAGTACACATCCCAGGGAAGAATAACGAAATGGCTGACTGTTTGTCTCGCTTGCAGGTCGAACAGTTCCACAAGAGATACCCCCACATGGAATCACAGCCAGTGCCCGTGCCCCCCCCCATCTCCTGCCCAGCAACTTAATAGGATAACAGATGATTTATTGTTCCAATCATTAGCACCTTCAACTATCCATGCCTACAAAACAGCTTGGCATCATTTCCGTCAATTCATGGTACAAGTCCATGGCATGGATATCCCAAACCTACCTATCCCAGAAATTATGGTGGGTCATTTCATCTCCCACTTACATGAAACAGGGTACGCACCTTCATCCAAGCTCTCGGCGATCGGTTTTGTACATAAAATACTAAACCTTGAAGACCCTACTACAACCTTTCCCATCCGTAAACTAATGCACTCCATCCAAAAGCATCATGTTCCCGATAGCAGATTGCCTATATCCCCCTACATATTGTCAAAACTGATTGGTTCCTTAGCATGCATTGATATCAAGCCCTACGACCAATGCCTATATAAAGCAATGTTCTCTCTGATGTACTATGCTTTTGCCCGCATTAGCGAAGTTACAATTGCCCCGGCATCCCAACACACCCTAATGTTGGCAGACCTTCACGGTATCTCCGACCAAAATGGCAGCCTAACTTCTTACGTGGTATGCTTTAAGTCGTACAAGCACAGCATGCCTTCTGCACAATCCACTATTGCAATCTCAGCACAACCAAATAGCCCTCACTGCCCCGTACAAAGCCTGACCCAATACCTACGCTTGAGAGGAGGAAAACCAGGGCACCTGTTCCTACGTAATGACGGCTGCCCAGTTAGCAGCGACAATTTCGCAAAAGCTCTAAAAAGTTGTGTGCTTCAAGCCAATTTAGATCCTCAGAAATACACTTCGCACTCCTTCCGTATCGGTGCTGCTACGCAGGCGGCCCTACAGGGAGTACCAGATTCCACACTCCGTTTACTAGGGAGATGGTCCTCTGATGCGTTCAAAAAGTACATTCGAACATGATGTATAATACAATGAAGCCACAGGGCGCAAAGCAGATATGTGTGAAATAACAGGCACGTCTTGGCGAGTTGCCTTCGTGCCTCCATCGAATACAGGATAAAATCCCCATTGTTACACTGTTAACTGGCACTGGCCATGAGTTGTGAATCAGAATGTCGTATCTTTGTTGCTAGACTGCTGCCTTGTCCGCTCGTAAAATGTTATTACATGTTAGAGCAGTCATATGTTAGAACAGTTGTACGGTCACTATTACTGTATAACATGTTTGCTATACTCCTTTGTCCTTATCGGCATGCCAAATTACCAAAGTCAGTTGATAGACTCGAACGTTATAGTTAGTTGTTAGCTATAGGAGTCGAACTTTGACTGCAACAGTAGGACTGTGTACCCAAATCAAGTGCGGGCCTACCCAAATCAAGTGCGGGCCTACCCAAATCAAGTGCGGGCCTACCCAAATCAAGTGCGGGCCTACCCAAATCAAGTGCGGGCCTACCCAAATCAAGTGCGGGCCTACCCAAATCAAGTGCGGGCCTACCCAAATCAACTACGTAATGCGTTATAGCCACTTGGAATTTATCGTAAAGCGTATTGAAAAATCGAGAAGTTTCCGAATTCAGCATAGATCGTTGTCGGGACCCCCCTTGCAGGCCCCCTTTCCTGAGCTGTCTCCTGAAGTCTGGTAGAGGTTATACAGCTAGAACTTAATGTGTAGACTCAGACGTGCCCCTCTGGGCAAAACCTACAATTGAAGTTGACGGCTGCAAATTAGAGGTAGGAGATCGGGTCGCGCAGTTGGCTGACCTGTAGGCAAGGCTAGCTTCCGTTGAGTTGACACACCGAGCCTCGGGTCATCCCACAAGTGTATAGTATGTCGTGGAAAAATGTTCACCCCACACAGAAGTCCTCACACAGAAGGAAAAGGTGTCATTTAATGGATATGACCAGAGCTATGGGATATGACAATTAGATTAGATCAGGATAGGTTGAAAGTGAGCTATAATTAACGTTTTGATCAGATACATCAATTATGTTCCTTGGTTGGGTGGAGGACAGGGGATTTCAGACAGATGGAGAGTCGCAAGCGACGGCATTGTTAAGTTCAAGCAGCCTGAAAGGCAGGTCGTAAAAACGTTTACAAACGCCTATACAGTCACTGTATAATGGACTGGTAAGCTTGAAAAAAACTTACAATTTCCATAATGAACTTGAAATCAGGAAGTGTACTCATACCAAAACTTCATGCCACTTATCCCACCTACTAACCCCTGTACTTGAGGACAATCTGTCGTCCCTAGGCTCGGCCTCGACAAGATCCTCAAGACCACCCTACTAATACCAAAGCCTCACCATCTCATCATAAAAAAAACAACTTTAAAGTTCCGCCGCATTAGGTCCGCCAAGTTTCCTTCCCGTCATGCTAAGAAAATTACGTCAAGTGCTAAACACAATCAGACTCGCCTTTATTACGTCAAAGCCATCGCCTCTATACACTTCTGCCAAAATGAACACACAACCAGGTAGGCTTTCAATTACTGCTCTTTCCAAACATACCGCTAGGTGTCGTCCTTACACTGTAGGCCTGTGACAGGTCCCACAATGCACCTCACTCAACTTTGACCTGCCCCATTGCATGACGGGAAACAAAATGGCGGCGCCCATAAAATCCAGGTAAAATAGAACAGGTTTTGCTATCGCAAACCTGTAACTATCGTTGTATAAATTCAACTTCTCCTCGCTTTTCAGTTATTGTAGAAATTGTTCCTTCCAAATCCTAACTTCCTATCAAAGAATAAACTATTGTCTTCTCTAACGTTTCTTGCTCTCTTTTTTAGTAGACTAATGGTCACAGCTTGACTAATGGAACTTTTATACTGCCGTGCTTTTGCGTGGGATTTAGTTCAGCGTGCAGTGGTTGCACTTGCGCCCTCTGGCGTCCCGTTTGGGAAGGGCAGATCAGGAAGGTCCGAACTGCTCACTTGCAGAAAACCAGAGCTGCCGACACGAAGTAGAATTGTACCTGCAGATACATAAAGGAATTGTTTTGTTGACTAAGTGGCTAAAATGTTTCACAGCTCAGGCCAATAGATACTGTCTTGCGACTTTCTAATCTGCTTGAAGATTAAGCACTAAATAAAAGACCAAAGCTAAAGAGGTTCAATTTGCCTTGACTGGCCAAATAGAAGGAACAGGATCTTGTAATTGAACACTTTTCTGGTCCTAAGCTACATACATACAGTCAGTAGCTATGAAACAAACTTTCTAAGAATTTGGATTTTCTAAACATCTAATGCCCTTTCAAGATCAATGTGACATGAAAATGACACGACTGGTTTCAAACTTTATTAAAAAGGATATCAAAAGTTACAAAATAGATTAGATGCAGCAATATCAAAACATTGTAGCTCAGGTTGCATCCAGGGTTTTCAACCATTGATCTCGAAAAGTCACAAGTACTAGAATAGAAGCGAAATACATGAAAAATCAAAGCTGCATGAGAACGAAAGACTTCGTCACTACACAAAAAATAAATTGATTTGTTTTTTGTTTAGTGACGAAGTCAGCCATTCTTGTACTGGAATAGCACAATACATTTAGAACAGTGATTATAAATCAGGTAAAAACAATATTTACAAACTACAAGACTTGACCTTATTAGGAAGATAAAGAAAGACCTAACATGCATGGCTGTGGTTCGTGAATTAAGAACTTCACTTCTAAAATCCATACATTTACATGTACATGTACCATGACATCGGACAGCAAAGTACATTTGACGTCTGCCTTACTGTACAATTATTACACGTTACAATATTTCTAGGGGTACCAATCCCTAGCACTAAAACTCACATCTTGAGATCAAATTTTTAGGTCTACAATAGTGTTACAATTTACACTGATAAAAACTTGTAAACCTCTTTCTATTGCAGGACATTTGTACTGCAGCTGATCGGTTGAGTCGACTTTGGATTTACCATGACAGCACCCATATGCATCCACACTTACATTATCTATGCATGCCTGGCATCTCTCATCAAGGCTAAGCAAGACTCTAACTTTAAAATGTTAAATATAGTTGATTACATTTTATTATTTTTCTAGAATATCCAAAGTCAGGGCAAACTGATGGCTTCTTATGTAAAAATTTAATTATTAAAATCTTAATCACACAGACGCAATGTTTAGACTTTTTATTCTTCTTGTATAAATCCTCTGAATGGTCATCATTCCTTCAACAAGTAAGAAATTGTATACACAGATCTGTACTGCGTCATGATGATTTGGAAGCAACTACAGAAGCACAAGCAAACCCACAAATAAACGCACGGAAAATAAAACAACACCTCCGCGCAAAATTATTGACACAAAACAAGACGACTATTTCATAACGAATTCTACAAACATAAACAGACGAATGAAATTTCAAGCTAAGAGCTAGATAGCCCGTTTGCCAGACTGTTCCCAGGGCCAATATACTAAGCTAGTCCCCAGGTAGACTGGCCTTAGAGCCGAGAAGCTAACCTTGCTCCTGCCCCTGGCTACTGTCCTGCACCCAGGCTAGCCCTGGAGGCAGGAGCTACTAGTATAGCCTGTATAACGTTGATGTCTCTGCATCTGGCCTGGTAACAGATTGGGACCCAGGCTAGCTCTGGAGCCGGACTGGGAGCCGAGGAGCTGGCCTTTATACTGACCCTGGCAACAGTCTGGCACCCAGGCTAGCTCTGGAGCTGAGGAGCTGGCATGTATACTGGCCCTGGCAACAGTCTGGCACCCAGGCTAGCCCTGGAGCTGAGGAACTGGCATGTATACTGGCCCTGATGATTATCTAAGAACAGGGTTTAGTGACAAGCTCAATGATTCCTCTCGCATGGAGCTGGACTAGCTGGTAGAACTCCCTGTCCATGCGATGCCAGGGGTTGTCGGCACCCTTGTCCCGCAAGTTCCCGCCGTAGTGGTGGTACTGCAGCGGACTGGCCCGCCGGTCCCGGTCGAACGGCCAGAAGCCGAACACCCTCACCCGCTCACAGAACGACAGCGCCGCGCTGATCATGTAGAACCCTGCGAAAGGAAATGTATATCATCACAATTAAACAGTTAACAGTTCCATATAGATATAATTCTAGCATCACATCCTCGTGATGCTTTCTTGCTATCTCGTCGCCCTACTAAAAGTTGCATTTCATCATCATACATGATCATTATCGTCGTCATCATGTTTCACCTGAAGTCAAACTCCGTTCCTCCAGACCTCTCCTCGCCCAGAAGTCGAACATGTTTCTCCTGTGCTCGGGGTTGTTTAGAAACACCTGAGGAAACAGTGAACAACATGAACCAGGGTGAACAACACTCTCATTTCATTTTTATCAGTAGTGCTTAAAATCTTACGAGTACACTTTGACAACTCAAAAAGTAAGCAAGCTAGGTATTTTTATATAGAATGGATTGGCGCGGTTCTTGCTACAATATTTACCTTGTTTGGGACGTTCTGGTTGTGTAAGAAGAAAATTCTATACCCTAAGTATCTTCCAACCTGATGAAATTATTTACGGGAATGTTTACCTTATTTGGGACGTTCCGGTCGCTGAGAATCTTCTGGAGGTCGAGAAGTATCTTCTTACTTTTCCCAGGAGTCATGAAAGGGAAGGTCAAGACGCTGCTGCGGTAGTACTTGTACACCGAGACGTAGTTCTTAAAGGTGCTCACCCATCTAGATTTCTTAAGGTGCCCAAACCTGCAGAATCAAGGCGGTCCAACGGTTAGGGCAGTTTAGTCAAAAGTAAAGATTCTGGGTTGGCATCCCTGGCCAAAGACAATGTCGTGCTCTAAAGAAATTTACTCTCTTTCCACCGTTTTCTTAACTCCTAAAAATGGTAAAGTACAAACTAGAACTGGGAACACGAAGCACATGGAGAAATATATCATTTAAGAAATAGATGGCAAAAAGAAATGTATCATGATATATTTTTTCATCGTTTTCCTTGTTTAATGGCGGCGAAAATTGGACAACGTTTCAGAAGTTTTTGACGAGTCTACACTACACATGCAATTTTAAATGTGTGGATCTCTTAAGTAAGGAGGTGATGTGTATACCAGTATATTCATTTTCTCTCCAAATTGTACCAAGGGCTGTATATGATTGAAATGGTGTGCGATTTCAAGTATTGTATTGATAAGTAAAAGAATGCTGTGTACATATATTTTCCCTACCGAAGTGTACAAAATTAGAGTCAGATGGTGTACATGTGAAAGAAAGCTAGCATTGAGTGAAACTATGCAGGTTTTTTTACTTACTTGGTATTTACGATGTCTGCATTACAGGTGAACAGATGGGTCCTGATGCCAGAGTCTTTCATGAACTTCGTCAACACAGGAGGGAAGTTAAACCTAAATGAAGATCAAAGAAAACATCCTTAGATCCTTGATAATTGCAGGACTGTAAAGTTAGCGTTGTTATGCTTACATGCCAACATGTTATAAGTAGACATGTAGGTAGTTTTACCAGGCTTCGGGAGGCGGCTGGAAAGAAGTCGGCCAAAATAGAGAGATAACATGCCAGGGGAGTTTGCTGGAGAGAACAGTTTGCCGCACCCGGGCATACTATCTCTCTATTTGGCTGATTTGTACTCTTTCCAGCCCCCACCCGAAGCCTGGTGGAGGCTATGTTGTAGGTACAACTATCTTTTCATCTGCTAGTATTTCTGTAGGAACGCATTTGTGCTAGGTTGCCTTAAAGATTATCAATATTTGGTGTTTGAATTTCTTCAAACAAAAGAGAATTATATGATATATATAAGTACAAAATGTAATGATGTATTCCAAATCTACAATTTTGTAAAATTTGTAAGTCGTTTAAATATTGTATGAAATACAATGTGCGGCAACTTACACTTAAAATCAAGGTAGCATTTGTAAAAAAAGACATACATACAATCTTGTTTGTTTTTGAAGTCTTTTTGGTCTGTCTTTAGTCTCTTTACTCTTTCTATCCAATATAAGTCAAGCAGTTGGATAAATCCTCTGACATATCTTGAACTATGTGATACTTGTTCCTCTTCTTCTTCTCCTAACAGTGACCTCTGACCTGAACTAATGTTGTGTCTGTTACCATGGTAACTAGTGTAGGGTTACACCATGTTGCAATTTCATAGCAGGAGGGATTTAGACTCCTGTCTGACCATATATATGAATGTGTTTTGAGTACGAATTAACAGAGCAGACCATAATGCGAAGGTAAACATTATGCGTTTGCTTTGCAAATATACTGTTGCCTTTCTAGTTGACTTATCTTTCCTACCTAATGACAAACTCAGCCTGGTCAATCCTTTGCCCACAGCCGCTGTTAACAAGGATCCCGCTATTCCCAACGATACTGCACTCTTTGTAGCTGGCATTTGCAAATGGCATTTCCTATAGAGAAAGAAAGGAAGATAGTAGGTCATTCGCGTTTTCTTCCTAAGGTTTCTGCTCTTGTATTGTGCAACATACGTTTTGATGCTATCATGGTGTTTGTGTTTTAGTTTATGAAGTTTGTAGTATATCAACCCAAGCCACAACAGATCATGCACCTACATCAAACAATATTGGTTCTAGAATACAAAGCAAGCGTATTCAAAAAGTATAACCAAATAGATGACCACTACCCTACTAGCATGAAAGTTCATCTGTGTTGGTACATGTATACTTCATTACGACAAAAAGGGTTAAGTTCTTTCCAATTTACTCAATGTTGGAAAGGACATTTATTTAACCCTTTTTGTCATACTGCACTATTAGTTAGACAGTTGGGACAAGTTTATTGTGAAAACAAAACAGGAGAAAATGGTACCTAGAACAAAACATTTCTTTCTGGGGATAGACTTACTTGGGGTTGGTACTTGTGCAAGCTTTCTGGGATGTAGAATTTATTGTTTCTGTGTGCGAATCCGATGCTAGTGTTCGGCTGAGTGTTCTGCTGGGTGAGCACCAACAACTCCCGGGTGTGAGTGGACTCTTCTAGTTCCCTCCTAGTGTGTGGCAAGAGCAGAAATGTTGCAAAAAATCGTGCCATAAGCATAACATGATCTGAAAGCATATGTAACAATTTGGGTCCGTCTTGGTGTTTTTTTTCAACAACGTGTGGCAAAAGCAAAGTGTTACCAAGAATGCTAGACAGTAACTTTTTATGTTTACCAAAGGAAAACATATTGTTTTTGTTACGTTTCCTCTTCTTCTCCAAACAGTGACCTCTGACCTGACTGAACCAGACGGCTGGCGCAACGGTAACTGGTGTTGGGTTACATCATGTTGCAATTTTATTGTAGGCGGGATTTATACTTCTGTCATAATATCTGTGAATGTGTTTGAGTTAGAATCAACAGAGCAGACCATATACAAAGGTAAACATTGCCAAAAAACAGTTACTCAAGCAACTGGATATGATTTTGGATATGATTTCCAAAATCATATCCAGTTGCTTGAGTGACTGCTTTTTGGCATATCGTATAGCCTGGATGTCTAACCTTCATCGACGTAAAGGTAAACATTATACATTTGCTAGTCATTGTTACTAATGTTACTTAATCATCAGTTAAACATTAGGCAAAATACATATAAAGAATTAAGGCACCCGGAGCCCTAAATGTGATTCATCATCATCATCCACTGTGTTCTGCGTCTACAGTCGTGTGGAAATGTCCTGTAGCCGAATTCAGTCTTTCTTCATCTCTTTCCACTGTGCCTTCTGCCTCGCGAGCTCTCTGAGCTCCTTGAGTTTCTTTTCTGTTGTGGGAGGGCCTAGCCCTCTGCGCTTCAGGTCTCCCTTCAGTAATGTCTCCCCCTGCGAGCTTTATATCTCTTGGAGCTAAGGAATGAAAATTCCAGAGCTTTTTGTGCAGGTGTGTCTCGCTTAAATTTGATAGGACATGAAAATAACGTACCTGATTTGCTGCACGGCGAGTTTGTTAAAGCTCCACGGCCGAGAGTCGATCTTGCCTAGGATCCGAAGCAGTTCCCCCGGCGGTCGGTGGGTGGCGTTGTTTTTGGCCAAGGCGCTGCTGTTGTGAAAAACGGGGTCGTCCAATAACTCCCTGACGAAGGGGTCCAAGTGTGGCACAGGGGGTGTAGTGACGGGAGCCCTGGAACACACCCATATTAGAAATGGTATAGTCCATAAATGATAAAGTTCTTTGAGGCATAAAACAACTAAAGTAATTTATGTGCCAAGGTTTGAGTGGTTCTTCTGCTGCCTTCATCATTGCAGTAATGACTGGATCTGCTAGGTGTCGCTGCAGCGACAATGCAGTCCCACACGTGACTAAGCTATCCTCCGATGGAGCGCCATCTAGCGGCGGAAAGCAGACCACGAAAATCTTCCGAGAACTTCGTAGACACTCAGTCTCACACATGATCTATGTTGTTTTGAATGCGTTTCTTTGACTGTAGACCTCACGAGGACTTATATACATTTTCTTTTAATCATAAATGTCCTTAGCCCCAACGTGCGTTACCATGCTTCGGGAGGCGGTCGGGTGCAACAAACTGTACTCTCTAGAGGACCAACTCCCCCGGCATGTTATTTCCCTATTTGGCCAACTTCTGCTCTTTCCAGCTGCCTCCAGAAGCCTGGTAGAGGCTAGCTATACCTCCCAAACTTAGCCCTACCTTTGCGTGTTGTTTCTTGTCGCGTCTTTCGTCGTGTCCCTGTCTGGAATCATCGCGTCCCTGTCTGGAATCATCGCGTCCCTGTCTGGAATCGTCCCGTCCCTGTCTAGAAGCGTCGTGTCCTTGTCTGGAATCGTCCCGTCCCTGTCTAGAAGCGTCGTGTCCCTGTCGGGAATCCTCGCGTCCCTGTCGGGAAGCGTCGCGTTCCTGTCGGGAATCGTCGCGTCCCTGTCTAGAAGCGTCGTGTCCCTGTCGGGAAGTGTCGTGTTCCTGTCTGGAATCGTCGCGTCCCTGTTGAGCAGCGTCGTGTTCCTGTCGGGAATCGTCGCGTCTCTGTCGGGAATCGTCGCGTCTCTGGTGGCAAGCGGGCTGAGGCGGCGACCAACTCCCGACAGTCGTGAGTACGCGAATAGTCCGCCCAGCAGGGATAGCGTCATCAATGTCGTCATCACGAGGAAAGCCGCTGATTGGTGCAGACGAAACATCGCCCGATGCGCATGCTAAAAAGGCTGAAAAAAACGCGGGAAACATATCAAAAGTTACGTCGATGAAGGTAATAAGATACGTCAAAAAACAGTTACTCAAGCAACTGGATATAATTTTGGAAACGGTCAGACGTTCCAGGTAGCATCCACTACCTTTCGCCAGAGAATGGTTAGAAAACTCTCCAGTGTCACTGACGAAAGGTAGTGGATGCATGATAACTGAAACGTCTGACTGTTTCCAAAATCATATCCAGTTGCTTGGAAAAAAGATACAAGATACAAGATACAAGATCTCTTTATTGGAAATCGCAGTGTTGCCACTGAATTAAAACCAATTTACATTTCAAAATAAGGAATTCATTAAAAGGTGGAATTCATTAAAAGCTGGACTTCATTATAGTTCACAAATATGGACAAATTATACACACACATTACAAAAAGAGGCAAGTTACTGTCCGTGCTGGTTTACAAGTCTTGTCATGTACGGCACACAAGAGTTCAAGTACCGCTTCGTTCTGGCTTTCGGACAGTTCAGTTTGTGGTTGTTGCGTGTTACTCTTCCTGTGATCTGAGCCCTAGGTGGTGGAAGCCAGTCCCTGAACTCAGAGCCTAGCAAGGACCTAGCAAACTTCAGAGTCAGCTGTTCACGCCTAGAGGCAAGTGTTGTCAGTCCGAGGTGCTGCAGAGCATGTGAATTCCTTACTCCAAACATTCCTTACTCCATTTACTTAGACTGGAATCCGTTGGATTCAATTTCTGAAGGTACTAAGGGGTGTGCTACGTTTTTGATTTTCTAGGCCTCTTTTGGGAATCTCCGCCTGGACTATTACACAGCTTGTACCTACTGTACAGAACTGGTGTGTTGCGCCTTGGGCGGATTTCAGGGTTAACAGAAGGGACGGCCAATAAATAGGGCGTGACCAAAAAGGTAAAGCATCAGTTCAACTTTAGTTGCAGCATTTGCTAACCCTTTTCCCGATTTCACGGTGAAGCAACATACATAGAGACTTAAGTAAACGCTCCAATCACATACTATTACGTTACCACCCAAATATACGTATATGTTTCATCCAATACACCTAAATCCTGCCCGTTTTTATTTATTTTATTTATTTATTTATTGTTTATTTCAGGCTCAATGGCCCATAGCACAGACACACAACATTACACAAACACATCTAAAATAAAACATCTAAGTGGGTACAAATAGATAAAAGACTGTCGAGCCCTTACGGTGGGCGGACCAGTCTACAGTAGTGGCTCCAGAATGGGCTAGAGCAGAAGGTCTCCGAGCGGAGCAGCCCACCAACAAATCTTGAGAAAGACCGGACTCACCTGAGGTGCCTTTTGCTACAGCGTTGCCTAGGAAACGTGTCTTCAGAGTGTTGCAAGTCGACAAGGTGTCCTTCTAACGTTGCTAGATTCGAAAGTTGCCTTTCTAAGGTAGTTAAGTGACGCGTATGTCCCCCTCTGACCGCCACTAGCCTGACTCTATACGGCTGATGACCAAAACCTGCCCGGTAGGTTTCGGGTAGCAATCGCCTCCGGGTCCTTAAATTATACCTACATCGTTTCTAAGAAGCGAGAAGAAGCCAAATTATCGTAATTATTAGACTACATGTCCATAGTACATAAAATTAGCACTAGCTGAAACTGAAACTGTTTATTCACATTGATTGGCAGCCAATATGCATTGTTGGCTGAACTGCACAAGTGATTACATGTTTAAAAAGCTTGAAAGAGATACACATTAAAAAGCACAACATTGACGATTAAAATTAAATAGATTTAACATTTTGTAGGTCGGTCCATTAAAACAGAGGCGGACTACTATTTACAAATCTTGGTTAATGAGGCTTATTGCCTAAAACAGAAAAGATTTCCTCAGTCTTTCAGTTCTGAACTTCGGTATGGAGATGTGGTTTCCATTTCTCAGGGACCGTAGCTAGCTTGTACATTGTACACTAGCTTGTGCATTGTATATATTCATTGCAAACTGTGACGTCTTTCCTGTGACCTGTACTGAACCCAGTGGGTATTTGCGTACAATAAAGGTCTTCATTCATTCATTCTTAATGCTAATCTCCTAAAAAGTGGGGTCGTGCGGCGTAGCGGCAGAGTGCTCGACTTGGAACCAAGAGGTCCGGTGTGTACATGGCGATTTGCCGGCTCTCTCTGTCCGTGGCTACCACCTGTATCTGTAATCTGTATAGCCGGTATAACCGCCCTTCGGCGTAACACACCAGCTTCGCAGGCACGCGGCGCGGCGGCAGCTAGCTATATCACACCGAACGACTTGTTACACTCAATCTTTGCACATTCGATTGCAGGAGTTGTTTAAAGCTTTCTAGTGATGATGCCCCGACTGTGCTTGGTGGCAACGAGTTCCAGTCTACGATAGTACCGTTTCTCTGATCCACAGCGATGGCAACGCACCATGCTTCTAGGGAAGACGCCGCTGCCAATTTCCGTCTCGTAAACGGTCGTCGCCTTTCCGAACGGTCGTCGCCTTAGCTTTCCGAACGGTCGTCGCCTTTTCTCAGAACGGTCGTCGCCTTTCCGAACGGTTGTCGCCATTTCCGAGTGACCGAACTACCGAACTAAAATTCATGTAGGATGAATAAAGGTGTGTCAGAGGGGGGGGGGGGTTAACTTTAATGTCCATTAAATGTAGCCTCCACCAGGCTTCCTGAGGCTGCCGGAAAGAGTAGAAATCGGCCAGATAGAGAGATACTAGTAGCATGTCAGGGGAGTTGGTCTGCCAGGGAGAACAGTTAGCCTCTCCAACTCCCCTGGCCGTTCGGAAAGGCGACGACCGTTTACGAGACGGAAATTTGCGACGCCGCTGTCTTCACTGCCGTAAGAAAACTTTCACCACTTTCTCCTGAAGATCCGTGACGGATGGAAAAAGAAGCGCGAAATTTAAACGTGAGCTCAGACAAAGCTGCGCAGAACAGATGCGCATAGAGGTCTGTGGTTCGACCGGTTTCGTCTATGTACACTTTGACCCGTACCTGTAACTTGTCCGGGCAGTTTGGCGTTTGCAGAGATTTTCGCGTTTGTTTCCTGAATTCAACGTAGAAATGGTCTTGTTCGTTTCTTGAGGTCGGAAGAAGTGTTCGGAGTAGGTCGTGTCTTCGCAAGTGTAACCGAGGAGCTTGGTCTGACACTTGCAAGACTTTCAACTTCAAGGCTTATCGCTGTCTTTGTGCGTGGTCGTCAGCAAGGACAAGATCTAGGAAGATCACTCTGACTTTCACCTCTTGTTTTAACCCACGGACACTAGAAGGGGACTAATTTTCATCAACAGAAGTACGGAGAACTTGGACGTACTGTACTACTACAACTTCCCCTCAGTTACCGAAGAACATAGATCTGCTGTACGCTAGAAAAGCGCCGGGAAAAGCCATAAATTTGAGTTTTATTGACTTAAAAGACAGGGGTGCCTATCGACGATGGGAGATGACTCTTGTGGCGGTGGAGGGGTTTTTAGTGATACCGGAGGGGGGTTCAGCGGCGGTGGAGGGGGTTTTAGTGATACCGGAGGGGGTTTCAGTGGCGGTGGAGGGGGTTTTAGCGACACCGGTGGGGGATTTGGTGGCGGCAGTGGTTTCAGTACCGGCCACGGGTTCAACCACGGCGTGCATCACGGAACCGGGGGTCCTGGGTTCCATTCCCAGCCACCGCACCACGCAAGTACAACAGCAGTCACCAGCGGAGGTGTGAACAGCTACACCAGGCCCAGGATCCGGACCGGAGTAGAAAAAAGGATGGTCGCGTTGGTCTGCATCTTCATCTTCGCCGTAAAGTGTGTAGTCGGCGGGATCGTCCTGACCGCCATAGGGGCTTCGACCGACAGTCAGTCCGGTTCTCCTCTGTTGCTGGTGATCGGGCCCGTCCTGATGTGTGTGGGCTTCGTACTCTTCGTGATCGGGTCCTTTCGTTTCGCTAGCTGCAAAGACATGACGACTGCCCGGCAGTCAGGCCAGCCCATGGACCAGGTCTGCTTTCCTTCTTCTTTTTGTTAAATTCAGGTTTCTTCTACAATTTCAAACTTCATTTCGTAATGTTTGTTGCAATAGCATTCAAATGAAACGCAAATAACGTTTCTAAAGCAGTATATTTTTGTCTGGCCAGCCCATGGTCCAGGTATCTTTTCCTTTTTGTTTTTTTTTAAACATTGGGTGATTGAGAGGGAATGATATGATGATTCTTCTTGAATTGTGTATTGTCAAGGGAGTTGATCCGCTTAAGAGTACAGTTTGCTATCTATATTTCTTGGTCAAGACACAAAAATAATCATAGAAAACTCCCAAAAGATAATGTGCTCCATGCTTTCCTGTATTTTTGTTCATTGTACACAAGTGTATTGAGATGAAAACTTCTGCATCGCACTAGTTATGGATGTATTACAATATCTAATAAAATGTGCCGTGGCGGACAAGGAAAAGTGAAGAAAAAAAGAGTACAGTTTGCCACTCCTGCCAGATTTGGCTAATTTCTACTCTTTTTAGTGGCCTGGTAGAAATTCACTGTAGCCTCTACCAGGCCTCGAAAAGCTGCTGAACGTACTGTTGTTTCACAGGTGTCTCGGGTTGTGACGTCGTCAGGCGCCCCCCAGCCCGGAGGGGGCCAGACTGTGATGCTACACCCGATCTATTTGGTCGGTCCCGGGGGTCCTAGCGCGTCAGCCGGGGCGGCCCCCCATCCCACGGCTCCTCCCCACCCCTACCCTGCAGACCCCCCTGCGTGAGTACTGCTTTTTTGGGGGGGGGGCAAGAACAAGTTTCTGCTTGAACAGAAATACTTGTTAGTCCTGAATCAATGGTAACAGCTTGTGTGTGTGTGTGTGTGTGTGTGTGTGTGTGTGTGTGTGTGTGTGTGTGTGTGTGTGTGTGTGTGTGTGTGTGTG